CCAAAACAAACAAAGTGCTGGCCTCATTGTGTTAGCAAAAAAAGGACCCTCCTCCTAGAACCTTGGGTGGTGTGTGGAAATAAAGCTATTAGCTCAAAGCATGGTGCAGAGCTGTTTGGTATTTGATGAGTTACTCCTTTAGTCCTGAGTTTGTCACAGGGACAGAAATAGATGTGAAATCTTCTGAACAGGGGAACAGACAGCAAAACAAACATTAGAGGGGAGTTAACCTTCCCCCCAGCAGACCAGGGAGACGTGGAGCGGCTTTTCTCAGCAGACACCTCAGCTTGAGAATAAAGGACTGAGGGAAGTGAGGTGTAGGAGAATAAAACTGAGTTCTGGAGAAATGTTTGGCTAGAGTTTCCCCTACAATATGTACCAGTTCCGACTTACATACAAATTCAACTTAAGAACAAACCTACAGTCCCTATCTTGTACGTAACCCGGGGACTGCCTGTAATAGAGAAAAATGAGCTTTTGGAGCTGGCTTTAGAATGTTGCTGGCTCAAGCCCCCGCTCTCCCGCCTTCCACTATAACCAAGATAAAACAGCACAGCATTCCAGCCGAAGCTATGGCTCCGGTCTGTGAATTAATTAAAGATTTGGAAAAACGGGGAATCTTAATTTGTACCTACTCCCCGTATAATTTGCTCAGGAAGCATGCTCGATGGGAATGAGCCCCCACCCACAAAGAAGTTCTGAGACAGCTGATAACGAGATACGCAGTTTCCAACAGGCACTACAGCTTGGGTTTTTTTTTCTTGCTGATAGGACCAAGTTAGAGAGTTTCCTTTGTCTCTGGTGAAGACTTGAAATAGTCCTATGAAATGTTCTCATTTCAAAAGTTTTTGTCGACCAATCAACACACAGTGGCTGTGTCTAAACTGCATCCCTTTTCCGTAAAAGGGATGCAAATTAGACACATCGCAATTGCAAATGAAGCGGGGATTTAAATCCTCCCTGTTTCATTAGCATAAAAATGGCTGCCGCTTTTTTCCGTCTCGGAGCTTTGCTGGAAAAAAGCGCCAGTCTAGACGTGGATCTTTTGGAAAATAAAGCCTTTTCCAAAAGATCCCTTATTCCTCTTAAAATAAGGGATAAGTTTAAAATTAGTAATAGCTGACTGCAATAATAAACAGTCAGATTTACCTATTGAAAGGTATCAGGAGGTGTGTGTGGAGCTAATTAGAAAACCCACCCTCCTTACCAAATTGATACTAGATAAACCTGTGTCATTGGGAAAAGTCATTTAGCAGAAATTAGGACGGACCATAAGAAGGCAAAAGGTTTGGAGCCCTATGGGCATAGTTAAAGAAATTAAGCGATTGTTGTAATATGTGAAGGGAAACCTGCTTTAAAAATGACATCTCGTTTCTTTGCAGCCTCTTCTCTTTCTTAAGCAGTGTGCATCTAGGCAAAGAAACAATCTAATGTAAACATTTGTCTATGGACACTTTTGTTAAATCTACAAGAAAAATTAAAGATTCTACTGAAACTTAATTGGTTAACTGCATAAAGATGCAGTTAACTGCTCTATATATTGGTTAACTGCTCTATATATTGTAACTCTATTTTGTGGGTTTCAAATGAACTAGTTTTATTTTGTTTTGGATAATGTCCTCTTGCTTAAAATTGCAAACAGACAAAGCACAAATTAGTTAGTGCTTGTGTTGGGCATTCACAAATGCCTTGCTGTGCCTCGGCGAGGTAGGGAAGCAAGCGGAAAAGCTGAGAACCAGCTGTCCAGGGGGGTCCCTTTAAGCACGAGCCTCAGATAGCCTCAGACAGCAGCCACACAAAGCAACTACTGACCTGATGCCCTGCTGGAACTGGTTTCTGCTGCCCTTAAATGCGACCAGCGTCCAATCAGTGTGGATGCACTATTTCGAATTAGCAAAATGCTAATTTGAATTAGTTTTTGGATCTAGATGCATTATTTTGAATTAGCTTATTTCAAATTAACTAATTTGAAATAAGTTAGTTCGAATTAGCGCTGTAGTGTAGACATACCCCAAGTCTTTGTTTTGGCATATGACCAAATAAATAGGTCATATACCAATTTGGTAAATGAATAGGTTCTACATTATTTGCAATGTGTTTCTAAGTTAATTAATTTCTAGTGCATGTTTTCCTATATTGCTTCTGTGAGGGATATTATCATTTTGCATTGAACGTCTGTGAAAATGAATCCTGAAAGGTGTTTAGCATCTTTTGGGTATGGGCCCATAGCAAGTCTAATTCAAACTCCAATTACAATTTATAGAGATGGCAACTTTCTAGTGATATAATCTTACAATTCTGTAGCATAGTGGTCCATTTGTGACCATTCATAATTCAGATTTTTCAAGTACAACATTATTTATGGGGTAATAGTCTCTAGTTTTAACTGAAAAAGCTCATTAAAAACAAAGAAGAAAAAAATGATTAAGTAGGGCAACCTAATTTATGTCCACAATCTATAAGCTCCTATATGTGGTCACATGGATCAGTTTACAGTATCTGGCCTAATTATGTAACTAATAAAAAACTAAAAACTTTTTCCTGGAGTCTGTAGCTTTTACTCTGTCTTCATTGTCCAATACAGTTTTTGCCAGTTTCCTGCCAAGAACAATGCACAACTGTCATGGCTCCTTCCCCACTCTGGCACAATAAATGCAGAAGTGGGGGCCAGCAAGTGTACCCCAAAGCCTTATCTACCAGGCTTTGGTATAAAACTTCCCCCAAAATTTAAAAAAAAAAAACCAAGATTTTTGGGAATTAAACTTCCACTGCTACCACCCAAATATTAATAAGGAAATCAGGGGAAAGATCATTTGGGAAATCTCGCCCCTAAAGTAAAAATCAGGGCACACAATTTACCAATCCCAGGTTAATAAAAAAAAAGCGAAAGAACGTTTATTATTACAACAATATTCCTGTTGCAAGCATAATAACTAGATGGAAGATTAACAAATATACTCATGGAGAAACTCCATGGGCCTAGAACTTAGTTACAAAGAAAAGCCAAAAGATTGTTTAAGTGTGCACAGACAGCAGATCCCATACCCAAACCATAAAACAAGAAAAAACTAACGGATTTATCTAAACTTTACCCTACTTACAGAAAATGAAGAATGGTGTCTACTCTCTGTAGCTGCAGAGGGACTCACGGAGAGACAAAGGAGGGAAAAACCCAAATTCCTTTGTCCCAGTTTGAAATTCTTACCTACTTTCCTATTGGCCATTCCACCTGGCTAGGTATAGTTAACCCCTTAGTCCCCAGGCTGCTGGCTAATCCTCATAATCATGACAACAACAAATGACAGAAAAATAAGCAGCACACAATCTTCAGAAATTGAAAACAGCAGAGGAACATGTGGAATGTTTACTATTAGCAGCATTTGATGTGTAAACACTTACAAGGTGATTATGTCAGAAAGATTAAAAAACAATTTGCCAAACACTTTTTGGCCAAGTGCACATTAAATTGAGAGAGCCAGTGCTCAGAATTAAAACTGGTACTGTCCAGATGTCACATGTAGCTATTATCACTTGCTTCAGATGCAAATGGGAAGATGAGAGGTAGCTCAGGAACTTGCAAGAGCCAGGCATCAATCAGCAGTTTGTAGGAGGCTGATACTCCTATTTGGTACAATTTTACATAAGCATACTGAACACTTCCCATACTGAGCTTGCTGGAGAGTCTGAGACTGAAAATATATTATTGATCTAGTTCAATGTATTGCAATATTGGTAACAATAGATTAAATGCCTGGGAAGTGTTGTGACAGTTCTTTTTTGTGTTTGCATACAGAACATATGCTTGGGACAGATGCACATGATGGCTGGCTGACATGGAGGTCATGGAATACTGCAATGCTATTTCAGTTGATCAAAAGAAAGAGTAAAATAAACATTTTCGACAGAAATGCCTTGTTTCAAAAGATCCTGTACTCCTCAAAAAATGAATACCCCATCTAAACTACCATTTTTTTAAAAGCCCCATTTCGAAAAAAGCAGCAGCCACATTTATGCAAATGAAGTGTGGGATATTTAAATCTTCACTTCATTTGCACTTTTGATGTGTCTAATTTACATCCCTCTGCCAACAGAGGGTTGTAATTTAGACACACCCCAGGTCTCCTTTCTTCCTAATGGCCTTGGATATGGGAGCTAATTCTGCTCCACTAGTATATTGTAGAGTTCATATTAGGGGGCTTCTAACAATTCTCTAAGTGCATGTCTCCATAGAAGAGACGATCAAGGCTCCAGAGGTTGATCTTCGAAGGTATGATTTAGTCAATCTAATGTAGATACTAGAAATTGAACGCTGAGGACAGCTCCCACTGGTGTCTAGTACTCCTCCTCCTGCAAGGAGTAAGGGAAGCTAATGGAAGCATTTGCTCCTTTTGGCCTCTCGCTGTGTGGACAGTGCCATGACTCAGCTTAAGATAAGATGACTCCAGCCATGCATTTTGTGTTGCTGGAGTTGTCTAGTACTCCTCCTCCTGCAAGGAGTAAGGGAAGCTAATGGAAGCATTTGCTCCTTTTGGCCTCTCGCTGTGTGGACAGTGCCATGACTCAGCTTAAGATAAGATGACTCCAGCCATGCATTTTGTGTTGCTGGAGTTGCGTACCAGCATAGACCAGACCTTAGAGTGATCTCACTTAGCCCTGATCTATACTAGGGAGGTGTTTCAAAATAATCCTCCTTATTTCAAAATAACAAGTGGAGCGTACACACTACCAAGTCTGTTACTTGGAAATAAGGGGCTGGTTATTTCAAAAAAATAACTCCTGCTTTCCACATTAAGGGAGCCTGCCTTGGACTAATTTTGACTTATGTCAGACTAATTTAAAGGCTTGAAAGATAAACTTAATTTGTTGTCAGTATGACCTCTGTATGACCTGGATGTTAAGTCTGGTCTTTGTAAAGAGGTATGTGCTTGAACACAGGTATACAAAAGGAGGGAACAGGTGAAACTGGTTTGAACCTGTTGTAAGGCCTGCAAAGGGACTGTGAGGGGACAAATAATGATTGGAGGGAATTTGGTGCAAAGTGGCATGACCTGAATATGCATGCAATTGTAAGTGGTCAGTGAAAAAGGGGTAATTACAATGTAAGGTAGTAATTGTAGGTAGACCTTGCCTTTTGTTTGGGCAGTTGCAGAAACTTTTTCCTGAGTATCCTGGAGATTTTTGCCCTGGAATGCATTCCTGAATAAAGCTGGTTGCTTAAGAAGGGTGTCTGGAATTGATTTGGTAGGGGTTTTGGGCCCCCATCCGAACCCTCGGATTAAATTCTCGGTCATTTATGGTGGATGGATTGGGACACCAGGTGATTGTGACGAGCCGGTCCGGAGAGACTGAACAGAAAGGCGCCATACAAATCGGTAAGAGATCCTTGTTAAAAAATCCCACTGTTCCATTCCTCTCTCCTTGTCCTGAATGGCTGCTTTCAATGGCGGTAAGTGTCCACCCTGCGTTAAGAACATCCTTCCCAAGCAACTGTAAGTCTTTTTCCCTTCCCTTCTCTCTTTTTTTTTGAACATGTTTGTTTAAAGGGGACAGTGGGAAGACATTGAAACAGGGTCAGCTCAGGCTTGAAGCTGCTAGGAAGGCAGGTTAGTGCAGGATTGGAACTGTTTTATAGGTAATAGGACAGGGATTATGGGGAATAAAGGATCTAAGATAGATCCAAAAACCCCATTGGGTAAAATGTTGCAGATTTATAGTCATCCAGGGAAATTGCCAGCAGGTCTTAAACTCAGGAGGCTGGCAAAGCTCACACACACGTGGAATGAATATACTTATGTAGAATCAGAATTACAATTCCCAGTTCAAGGTACCTTTCAATTAGACAAATTAAATTATTTAAAGGGTGTCTTAGAGTCCAGTCACCCCTCCCAGATGAATTATTGGCACCTCTGGGATGATCAGGCCTCTAAATTAAGAGATAAATCCATAATGGCTAGCCTAAAGGACTCAAATGAAAAACTGAAAAAACATTTGGCAGAAATAAGGAGACATCTGACTCCTCTAAAGTTTGTCCCCCTCCGTACGTTCCTACACCAAGCGCACCCAGCGGAATCTACCCATCCATCTTGAAACCACCAGCTCTGCTGCCAGACCCACCTGAAGATCTATTGGACCAGTGAGTCCCCAATTTCCAAAATCCCCTTCCCACCAACCTGCCCCAGCATCAGCAAATATTGCTTACTGATCATTCAGCTGCACCAGCCCAATTTGAATCCCCCACACATACTCACACTTCTGCAGGGGTGGTGGGGAATGTCAACTTGGCCAATAAAACTTCAGATTGTGAGCATACTCAGAGTCCAGTAATTCTAAAGCTGTCAGAAGTCTCCTAAAAAATGTTGCAGCAAACATTGGCAAAAGACTTAAAGAACCTGGGGTTTGTTATAACTAAAATAGATCCCGAAAATAACTCCACGAGGCGTACAGATAGTTCGAAATAGGAAGCCTAGTCCGAACTATCTAGTTCGTGCCGCGTGTAGCCGCGGGCATGGAGTCCGCACTAGCGGACATTTAAAAATGGTGGCACCCGGCAATATGTAAACGAAGCCCAGGAAATTCAAATCCCGGGCTTCATTTGCAAATTCGTATGACTACATTAACCACCCTAGTTCGAACTAGGGTGGTAGTGTAGACATACCCTCAGTGACTATAAGTAATGAAGTAAACAAGGATGTGATTATTGAAGTTGGACCTAAAAGTTTTCCTGGACTGTTTAAAGAGAATATTAAACTTTTCCTACTAAGACAATTTCCTAATCCAGCAGGGGGTGCCCCAGCACTTGTCCACGTCCCCTGGACACCTGGGGCTCATCTACATTGGCCCCTTTTCCGGAAGGGGCATGGTAATTTTTGAAATCGCAATAGGGAAATGCGCGGGGGATTTAAATATCCCCCGCGGCATTTAAATAAAAATGTCCGCCGCTTTTTTCCCGGTTTTAGAAAAGCCGGAAAAGAGCGTCTACACTGGCCCCGATCCTCCGGAAAAAAAGCCCTTTTCCAGA